ACAACAAATTGTGAGACTTGTTGTTACTGTTTTTTTGGCACATCAAATACGTCACAGGTAGCTTGCCAGACTCTTTGCTGTGCAGGCGAGATACTCTCAGTAGCTTGCCAGGCTCTCCGAGAGGGGTGCAGGAATCGAACTCGGGTCAGCCATGTTGGCTGTGTGCAAGGCAAGCGCCCTCCCGCCCGCTGTGCTATTGCTCTGTGTGTATACACACACACACACACACACACATATATATATGTATATATATATATATAAGCACAGATAGCTTTTTGGGTCACACCCAGCGATGCTCAGTGGTTACCCCTGGCTCTGCACTCAGGATTTACTTCTGGTGGTGCTCAGGAACCATACAAGATGCTGGGAATCGAACCTGGGTTGGCCGTGTGCAAGACAAACGCCCTATCCACTGTACTATTACTCCAGCCCCATAATTAAACTTTTTAAAAAAAATGTTTAAATTCAGATTCTTAACCCCCTCACAAATCTATATAATAATTGTGACAAAAGATGCTTTTTTGGGACCACACCCTGCTGTGCTTAGGCCTTACTCCTGGCAGAGTTCAGGGGGCCAGGGACAGTCTTGTGCAAGGCAAACACTTTAGCCTCTGTATCTCTGGCAATTCTTTGAGAACCTATTTGTATTCTTATTGGTTTTTCATGTTTTCTTAAGCCTTGGCAGTTGCTCGGTCAATTCTATTTCCCAAAAATTAAGAAGCAGAGCTCTTAAACCAAAAAGGGTCATTAATGTCCAGACCAGGCACTTAGGCCAGAGGCCAAGTGGCCCGCACAGAGAGGAAAGGTGTTGGTGTCATTATTTCCGGTGTTCTCTTCAAATCTGGACACATATTGCTAACCAGACTGGTCTCTGATATTTTTGGAGACATTGGGAGGAGGACGTTCTCTTAAGTCAAAAATCCCTTTCAGGGGGTCACCAGCATTTAGAGAGTAGAGGACAGAGAATGAAAGAAACCAAGCAGGGGAAGAAGAGAACAAAAAGTAACGGGTCATCAGGATTTCAGTTATACCAGAAATATGATTGAGGGGTATAGCCATGTACCCCGAACACAGATCAACAGAACTGAAAACATGAGACCTATGCGATAACCACTGAAACTTTGTAATGTGCCTCGAGGGTGAGGGTGTGGTGAAACTTTGTAATGTGCCTTGAGGGTGAGGGTGTGGGGCGGGGGCTGGGATGGGGAGGGAATCTGGGACAGGGTGGAGGGAAGTTGACACTGGTGCAGAGATTGGTATTGAATTAGTGTATGCTTAAAGCTAGTATCAAGAATTTTATAAATCATGGCTCTTTGGTAAAAACCTAAAAAAAATTCAAACTTTATTTAAAAAAATCTTTTAGAAGGTCAGAGAGATAGCACAGGGGTTACTGTGTGCATCTTAGATGGTGGCAGACCCTGGTCACCCCCAGGCATCACATAGAACTTCAAGCATTCCTGGATCCCAGGGGCCAGCCTTGGAGGACCCTGAGTTCTGCCCCAGCAGTCTGGCATCCCTTGCTCTTAGGGCCCGGGTAGCACCAATCATCAGGCCCTTGGCTTCAACAGCTCACTTGCTTGACTGAAGCTCCCTCAGCCCTTCCATCTTCAGGAACTCTTGGAGCCTACTTACTGATGGGCTGGAGAATTTCTTCATCTTCAGAAAGCCAGTGGACGGATAGGGAAACAGCACTTACCAGGGGCTGAAGAGAGCAGCCTTGGATTCAGATGTCTTGCCCATGATGACCATTTGGTACTTACAAGCACTGTGTAGCCTCTGCCTTGAAATGCCGGCCTAAAGCCCATTTCATACGCAAACCTGCTCTCCTGTCAACACAAAGTCACTGACTCTTAGGGTGACTCATCTCACCGTGGGGGACAGAATAATTTGGGTGACCTCTGATGATTTCTGTAGGACTCAGCAAGCCAGTTAAGGAAAGGCTGAAAAACTGTGGTTTGTTTCCTGCCTCCGAGTGGTGGCACTTCGGGTGATATTTGGTGGGTAGGGCCAGACAGTTCCATGCTCAGGTCCTACAGTGTGGTTTGCTGGTACTGGTGGGAGAGGAAACACTTGCTTTTTGATGCAAATAGAAGGTGGTGTTTAAGGGCCAGAGAGATAGTACTGAGTGTTGGGTGTCTGCCTTGCATATGGATAACCTGGGTTTAATCCCCAGCATCCTATATGGTTCCCTAAGCCTGCCAAGAGTAGTCCCTGAGCACTTCTCAGGTGAGGCCCAAACCACACCTTCCCCCAAAATAAACCAATAAAAGAAAAAAGGTGGTGATTAAGGTAGGCCCTGGTCAGACTGTGGGCAACTTGGGGAGTCTTATATGGAAAAGAGGTTGGTAGGGCGTGGCATGTGAGAAAGACCAGGACACTTGATAACAAACATCCTTTAGGACACTGGTTTTATTAAATGAGAACAAATTAGGATCAAATCTAGAGTTTCTGTACTACAGAGTTTAATCCAGGGGAGAAATAATTGGAGACCACCTCAAGTTTTTAATCAAACACATTTATTGAGAACTTACAGAATACCAGCATCTGTCACAAGATTTATGAAATCAGGATGGTCCAGGGGGAATCCTTCCAGGACGAAGAAAGTGCCAGTGTAAGGCCAGAAAAGGGAGCAAGGGCTTTCTGATTCATTTTCAGTGACTCACAGTTTTCACACATTCTGGGGTGGAACCGGGCAGGGCCCAGGCCTGACTGTGGTGTGTCTGAGCTGGGCTTCCCTTCTGCCCGTGTGTGTTATGGAGAGTAGTGATCGTCTCTGGTACCACGTGGTTTGGTGAATCAGATTGCACTGTGGGTAGGTCACTGAGAAAGGGCAAGGGAAGAGTTGGGCTCTGAAGTAATGTTGGGGTGCATGTGAGTGTGCCCAGGAAGGACAATGACTAAGGGTGAAGACAGGAGCGGCCATTGCTTGGGGTTGCCCCACACAGACCAGGTACCTTTGGGCTTTTACTGAGATCACCTTCTCCTCCCCTGTTCTCTGGAGGCTACATCACCTCCTTTAAGTACCTTTTCTCCTTCCCTCTAAACTTAACCTGTTACTTTCCATCATGCAGATGGATTGACTTACTTGTCTGGGCAGGAGTTGGGTGGACAGCTGGTAGCATTCCTGAAATCTCTGCAGAAAGCAGCTTCTCACAGCTGGATCTAGTGTGATAGTCCTGACTTAAGAGCCCATTTTTTTTTTCAGCCCCCACAATGGTCAACTATGGCTGGAATCTTGAATCAACCTCAGTTCTAGCACAAAAGAATTGGTAAGTCATGACCCTTGACCCAGATCTTGGGTCCTCTCCTGGTCCCAGTAAATAATGACAGATTGGAACTCAGTCTCTGCCACTCATTCCTCCCTCATTCCTGGCTGCTCTGCTGCTTTGATGTCAGGATAGAGTAGCTGCATGAGAGACTGTGAGGCTGCTGAAACCCAAAATGTTCTCTCGCCCTCTGCAGAAAAATGTTGCTCACACCTAGTTTAAAATCACGAGGCTATTAAAAAAATTAAGTTCAATCAGAGCACAGAATCCCAATTCAGAGTCCCAGATGGCCAGGATGTCTGAGGCAGGAGCCAGCATGACCGGGATGTCCAAGACGTGTGGCTGTGAGGCTGTGTGCACGTCTGGGTGAGGTTGTATCTGGGCACTCTCAGACTGGTGAAAGTGGGGCTGTGAGTGGTTTCCACAAGAAGCACCAGAGTGTGACTCAAGCAAAGCAAGTCCATGCCTTTCTTCCCCAAAGGCAAATGGCGCTTGGGGACAGCTTGGCACTGCCTCGGCACTTGGCATCGCTGAGGTTGAAACTGTGAACATACTTTGGTTGCAGAGAGAGGTGCAAATAGGATCCGTGAGCCCAGGCTGGAGCTCCAGCTTTCATCAAGAACCTCAGGCCCACATGAACTGACCCCATGTGCGACAGTGCAGGAGGGCATTTCCTGGTGAGTATCCAGTCTAGTGAAAAGGGGGTACCTGCTGATCTGTGTGGTCAACACAATGTGAAATATGAGTTAGGAAGTGGGGAAGATAGGTTGTGTGATGATGGCTGTTTACTGGAGAAAGGAGTATGAAAAAGGCTCTAGTCTTTGATGGAGATCAGTAGACAGCCCTTAGTTTGCAGTTTTTTTTTTTTAAATAGAAGAAACTTTTTCTTTTGGTTTGGTGATGCTCAGGTTCTGTGCTCGGCGATCACTCTTGCTGGTGTTCAAGGGACCATCTATGGTGTCGGGGACCAAACCTGGGTCATCATGTGCAAAGCAAGTGCCTTACCTGCTGTATTATCACTTCAGCCCTTAAAATAGAGGAATCTTAATTCCACCTCACCTTTGTGTAGGTCTAAGGCTCTATTATCCTGCAATTCCAATGAGCCTTTTCATGCTCCAAGGAAGTGCAGTTAGTGGAGTGGGCTCATTACAGTGAATGCTATTGAAGAGTGGGTGCATTGGTAGTTCTGGAACACAGGTCCCAAAATCTGACCAAGAACCTGTTACTTAGTGCTAAACCCGTACCAAACAAGTTAGTTACGTGTTGGTAAAATCAGGTTTACAGAAGTTGTGCTGCTTCAAAGGAGGCATGACTGGAGTCAACCGGTTCTCCCCTTTCCACGCAGCAGTTGAGAACTCTGAGGCCCACGTTTCTAGCTGGGGACACTGGTCGGGTCTGATCTTACTACTAGGGCCTCCATCTCATTGATACACTACTAGGTCTCATTTCCATACCCCACCTTGGGCTTGTTTGTTTTTCACAGCATGGAAAAAAATGGCCATATTTGCTCCAGCTGAGAAGGCTCTCTTCCCATTTTCTATAATTTTTATAATCAGTTTTTATATATAAAAGCAGATGCTTTTATGAAAAGCACCCAGCCCTTAGAAATGCAACAACCTCTCGGGTAAGGCTGTAGGTACAATTGACATGGTAGCAATCTTGGGAGTGGTCAGGCTCCACACTGACCTGGCGAGCGCGGGGCTCTTGTGTCTGAAAAACTAGAGTCCAGGGTGTTCAGATATAGAATTCCTCCGTGTCATTGTCCCCGGGTTGAGCCAGTGCTGTAGGCGGCGTGTCCTCTCCAGTCCTCTCCATTTGGGGACTAGGACAAGACCGCTCTCGGGGGGACACTGGGGACAAGGAGACGCTGGAGGGTGGGCATGTGGCCACGGCTGTCACCATGGAACTGGCAGACCCTTTGGTGAGCCAAGGAAAGGCCTCCCTGGAGGTGTCCAGGGCCACCCCGCCCCCCAGGGGCAGCAGCCCTTCCCGGGAGCCCCTGTGCTGGCCTAAGGGACTGCCATAGCTGCCCGCAGGCTGGGATGAGTCTCCAGTGCGGCAGAACCTGCTGGGTGCAGAGTACGCAGAGACAACAGAAAGGTCCGAGGCAGACAACCGCAGGCCTGTGTCCACGTCTGTCTCCTGCGCCCCCTCCAGGTCATCGATGGACAGGATGACTCCATCCGATGCCCCGCGCCCCGGGGCGTCCGTGTTTGCAAACCACAGGGATGCAGAGAGGGAGGTGGGCGAGGGGCCTCCAGTGGGCAATGAGAACAATGACTTGCTTCTCTGGAAGGAACAGGGAAGGCTGGGAGCACTGTCGGCTGCTCCAGAAAGTTCTGGCGGCTGACCCAGAGGCAAGCTTGTCGGACTGAGCCCCAGGTAGGAACTGTTCAGCGGGAGATGTCGGCTGTGGTCAGGTAGATGGTGGGGTGCGATGGGACTTGGGAGAGGCAGGGCCTGAGGATTCTTCTCTGAGGCGCGGGGAGCTCGTCTGGGCTGAGGGAACTTCCTGTGCACCCTCTGTGCCTGTTGGGGGAAGGAGGCATGACGGGTTAGTGCAGGACTGGGATGTGTGGAGATGAGTCATAAGAAATGCATCCTGGGACATGGAGGATGGGGAAATGCCAGGGAATTCTGGCAGTAAAGCAGCATCTCAGGCTGGAGAGTTTCACTGTCACACTCTACAGCAAAGGCAGTGGGAGCTGAGTTTGGGACAAGCGGGATCTGACTTCTTGGCAGGGTATGCTAGGGGTCATGGCCCCTGTTGCAACAGGGAATACCATTTTCAGTGGCTGGCTGAGCAGGATAGAGGAGATAAGAATGGGCATGGAAAGCAAAGGGGATGCTTGACTGGTTGGTTTTCCCTCCGGCCAGAGCATCATAGTTTAAATGTGCTGCTGATGAGAGGGCAGAAGTGGTCAGGCTGATGGGTACAAAGGAAAATGCCACATCAGACAAAGGTGGACAGACTCTAGCATGCAGGTGATGGTCAGGAAATATCCAAGGAGCAGGTGAGGGTAGGACACCTTCAACAAGTGAATGACTACCAGGATATGAGCACTCATTTCCTCTATAACTAAAACTACTGTTCATCTACAGAGTTTGTCTCCAGAACCCTGGAAGGGAGCAGCAGATATGACCTGCCACCATGGAAGCCCTGTAGTGCTGTTCTGTTCTCTCCATCCTCACTGAAGCCCACCAGGAACCCACTTCTGTTGTACCAAACTGGGATCCTTTATTGCAAAGCACATTTCCACATCCATTTGCTTCTCTGCCCCTCTGCTCTGGTCCTGGTGTCTACACCATGACACAATGCAACCTTTTGATTCAATAGAGCTTTTGGGGGACAGTGAGTCTGGCTCTGTTGAGTATCTAATTCACGAATCTTCAAGTTCAGTAAAAGGTTCTTACTGTGGTTTACTCTCAAGGATATTTCCTAGCACCCCTAGGCCATGAGATACTGTCCTTTCCTAGACAACAAATACCCTGTCCTATTATTAAGCATGTTTTCCCACAGCTACTGTGGTCATGGAGTTTGATGACATATCATTTCTGTGGACCTATTACAAAGTAGGAGAAACCCTAATGGGGAAAGGCTCTATCTTTGTTACGTTTCATTGACAGACTAGGAGACAAAGCAGGTGGTGGAGAATGGGCACTGGTGGAGGGATGGGTACTTGATCATTGTATGACAGAAACACAAGCATGAAAGTTTGTAAGTCTATAACTGTACCTCATGGTGATTGGCTAATAAAATTTTTTTAAAAATAAGAAAAAAATAGCCTTTCATTGATTTCTAAGATCTTTATTTGCCCAATTCCAGGTAGTTCTTAATCGTACAAGCAGACTGATGGACTCATTATTTTAAGCAACTTGAACTTAGAGTCTTATATGAGGTTTATCAACTGGCATGATTCAACTATGAAAGGACTATCAAGGCATGATAAACATTGATCTTTCACCAGCAGCTTCTTGAACCATATAAGTACATCACAGTCTCTTTCTATGTGTTCTCTAAGGTGAAAAAGGTCTAGATAGAAAGGCATGACTAATTTTGGATAAAAAGATTCCTTTGCATTACAGTCAACAATTAATTCACTGGTAATAAAGGGTGCCATGATGATAAAGTGGGCAGCAATACGTGTGGTATATTTGAGGGCTCCAAGTGGAGGGAGGGGCTGATTTTCAGGATTGAGGCACCATAGCTGGAAAGGTTCAGAAAAACTAGCCTTGGGGAGTCAAGCTTGGACAAAAATCTTTGAAGCAAAGGAAGTGTCTGCCAACTGGAGTACAGTGGGCACCGCTAGGCAGGGCATTTAGGCCCAGCAAAACCTATTCAGACTTTGGAGGCATGAAACAAAGCAGGAGGCGAGACCTGAGAACCATCCTGTGTGAGTCATGTGCACCAAAGAACTCACACTGCAAAGCCTACAGGCCAGGTTAGCTTTGCAGTCGCAGAGGGAAGGCAAAGAATTAGATGGAGTAGGAAAACCACTTAGAAGATAGTAAGTCTTCAACTTAAAGTGTTGAGACAAGCACGTCAGATTTTCAGTTCTGGCATAATTCTTAATCATTAGTTCACTGAGTCAGAATTTTCTATGAATTCTTTGTTCAACAGAGAATTTCAGATCCTCTACTCTGTCTCTATACTCAGGAGTGTGGGCATGGATGGGAAGTTGCTGTTTCTACTCCTCTCTTCTGTCTTAGATTATTGGAATCCTGAAATCTTGTTTATTAATTTTTGGTGGGGTAACACTTCAGCAGTGCTTAGGGGTCGCTCCTGTTGGAGCTTGGGGACCACATGCAATGCTGGGAATTTGAAATGCAGTTGGTTGCCTTAACCCTCTGCACTCTCTCTCCAGCCATTCTCAGGTCTAAGTACTTGGCTTAAGTAAGGAGTTTAAGGTAGAGAATAAAATTAAGGGGATTTCTGATAGCCTGAAGCATAGATCTGTAGGATAACATTGGGTTTATCCTTTCAGTCTTGCCACAGAGAACTTAGTTTACCTTAAAGCAATGTCCTTTCTGTATGGACACAGGAAGACAGTTAATATCATGCTTTGAAGCAAAGGAAATTGATTGGCTCCAAATAATATTTACTCCTGGGCATCTGCTTTCTCAACTCAGTTGCCCTTAGTTCCTAGCACCCCAAAGGCAGGGTCCCGATGAGGGACTGAATGGACCCAGGGCAAGCTGTGAGCTACCCTGGCATTGAAATGGGCCAGGCCAAAGTGCCATGATACTCAACTATAAGTTGAGAGCATGATCATGGACAAATGCTGTCATGATCCAGAAGTAATGACCAGTTTAGGACCTTGCTGGGGTTAGGAAGACTAACCTGGCCTGAGGACAGTAGTCTGGAATATATAGTGAGATGTCCTCAGGAAGAACCAAACTTTAAGTTTGATATATGTCTTACTGTGCTCATACAGAATGACATTGTTAGAAACATTAGAGGTAGATTTACTACAACTAATTAAGTGGATCACTGTACCACTGTATCACTATCATCCTGTTATTCATCAATTGCCTTAAGCAGGCTCCAGTAACATCTCCTTCGTCCTAGCCCTGATATTTTAAAAAGTGCCACATTAGAGGCTCTATCAGGGTCAGGAGAATGAGACCCATCATTGTTACTGGTTTTTGGCATATTGAATACACCACGGGGAGTTTGCCAGACTCTGCCATGTGGGCAGGATACTTTTGGTAGCCTGCCAGGTTCTCCAGAGTAAGAACTAGATAATAAGGTGGATCACTAGCTGAGGAAAAAAGAAAGCTACATACCCTGGATGGGATCCCGCCTTTAAGCAGATCTCCTAGTAAGTAATCTCTTTAGATGAGATTTTATCCTTGAGTTAATCTCCTGGAGGAGTGGCCTTACCTCTTTGTTGATTTGTTCATGTTCAACCCACCTTTGTATCACCACCCTATGTGACTGCTATAGAAACTAAGACTGTAAGAGCAAAAGGGAGTATCAGAATCCAGGGGGTCAGGCTCCAGAGGGCAGAGTCAGAATCCAGAGTGAAGGCTCCAGAGAGAAAAGCAGAATGGCTCCAGAGAGAGAGAGAGAGAGAGAGAGAGAGAGAGAGAGAGAGAGAGAGAGAGAGAGATCGGAAGAGACCAGAGGAGAGACTACAGAGACAGACAGAAGAGAGCACCGTGGCACACACAGAAGCAGAGCACAAAGGAAAAGCCATCCCGACCTGGTCCATACACAGTGGCCCGAGAGCACTGAACACGGGGTGGCGAGAGAGAGTCATCTGGAGAGCCTGCCACAACACACATCATCATCATCATCATCTCATTCCCTTCTCCTTGCACGATTATATATTTTTTACATAGATCCTTGAAGAACAGAATACATTTTTTTTTTTCAGATTGCAACAGGGTAAGATGTGGTTCTTTCAAAGATCACACTCCACGGGGGTCATTTGCACCACAGTCTTTCAGTTTGGAGTGGTTCCAGATTTTGTACATGCAGGGGAGGGAGCCAGCAAAATATGGGGGAGAAAGGTTCAGAGATGAGCAGATTCTTCCTGCAGAAGAATCCATCCACCAGGAGGACAGTTCTGGGCTCCAGCATGTACCCTGCCTTGCGGTGCCCACTGTACTCCAATTGGCAGACCCTTCCTTTGCTTCAAAGATTTTTGTCCAAGCTTGACTTCCCAAGGCTAGTTTTCCTGAAGCCTTCCAGTGTGGCGCCTCAATCCTGAAAATCAGCCCCTCCCTACACGTGGAGCCCCTAAAAATAACTCAACGCCATTTCTTTGGTTAAAGATTTAGCTTTCACATGGGCTGTGGGCTCTGCTATGGAGGTGCCGACCAGTAACCCCAGCCCTGTACCTGCCCCATACTAGGAGTTTAGGCATGAATAAGAGCCATGCTTCAGCATCAGGTGAGGCATGACCTCTGCCTATGTACAAAGGACACTGATGAAATTTCTGGAAAATCATCCAGGATTTCTCCTCTCAAGTTGTGCCTACTTTGAAATCAAACCTGATTTAAATGAATGCTTTACATGGTTTAATTCAAACGTGTCTAATAGTGGCAAGATTCAGAGGTCTCCCAGCAGTCCCAAGCATAGGAACCTTGGTCTTAGGGTGGGAATCAGGTATGCCTGAGCCATTCATATCTGGGGGTGGGGGAGGGGCACATCAGAGAGACAAACTAATTGCTTTTCTTCGTCATTTGCATTTGGCTAAACAAGGCAAAAAAGGAGTCAAGTTCTTTAGAGAAGGAATCTTTGGTGCAGTGGTCCCTCGGGTATAATGTTTATGAATAAATGTCTTTTTGCCCAGTTGGTTTCCTTGGGTGCTCTGGTGTAATTTTCCAACTTCAGTGTGCAGTGAGTTGTAGTCCCATCTCTGGAGTCTTGCTTTTGAGCACGTTTCAGCCTGTCTGCTGAGGCGTGGAAGGAAGTCTCTGTGGGCATCACACTATGCCATGACAAGCGTGAGGAAAAGAAAAGACAAAAACAAGCAAAAAAAAAAAACAACAAGGAGACGGTATGGATGGTCTGCTATATG